CCCCCTTCCGGGAAGTAGGATATCTGGTCTGCGTGCAACATAGAAGATCTTGGCGTACAGCAGAGAAGCGCCTTTACCGCTGCACTACAGACGCCGGTTGCAATCACGAGTTTTATACATTATTTTATTTTTATACTATTACTATACATGATGTTTAATGTATAAAAAAGCAACGAATTTTATATTAATAAATCATGCTTCCAGAGACACCCACTCTTACGAACACACACATAAAAACCTGTCCCCGGGGTTTTATGCACCCCGCATAATTTAACAAAATTTGATCCTTTTTTGGGGCATAATTTATGATTATTTTCCTTCCTCATTCTTTGTCAAAATTAAGAGAATCGCATAATTTCACATTTTTTGGGCTTAGTTTGCATAATTCCAGATTTTTTTAAAAGTTCTTTTTTTCATAAAACCGCGGGGACAGATAAACAGTAAAACACACTACATGTACTGGGTTATTTGTTTACATGTATTAACAACTGCAAGTCTGCACACACAAAAAGTACAAATGTGCACCTTTCACCAGGAACATCACATCATGAATTTTATAATTACGTGATTTTTTCCCAAAAAAAACAGTACATGATGTATCGGTATCTTTATCATGTAGGTCATCTGAACAGGGTAACACTACAGTTACACACAAGACTGCCGGGACCAACACGATGATAGGGTCTACATGTGCTGTGTTAATTTAACAATGTACACGAGGCTACATCATGTATACACACATGCATTCCCTACTGTGTACATATGTTTATGTTCCGTATAGAATTACTGCAGCCAAATCCTGAGATGGGGATCAAGTTTCAGTTTACCCACTTGCACATTTAGTAGCTAACTGCAAGTAATGAATAGCAGACGAATGGGATCGTATATTATCATTAGATTATATATATATATATATGTTATATTCATTATCATATTATTATTATTTTTAAAAATCATTATTATCATATATTATCATTATTTAGCTATCATTATTATTATTACGTTGCACTTGTACTCCGTCATCATCAAGAGCCAGATCTGAAGCTGAGGCAGACTTCAGCGGTCATGGTTCCCTGTCCTTTTTTTTTTTTTTTTACTCTGATATTTTAACTTGAACAACAACAACAAAAATCAGATCAAGATCTAATTAAATTAAAATTAAAAACAGGTCTAGATTCTATACCCATCACCCACCTGTTCAGATTTTCCTAGAACACCATGTAGGCCATGAACGGCCATGTCAAATAAAAATTTGGAAGTACCTATTTGCAACGCTGCGTTGCGGTAAAAATTTACGAAACCAGCAGGAATAGATCAAATGATAAAAAGAAGAGATGCTACTACTATCTACATCATGTGTAATAACAACAGAGATTCTACTGGTACATAGTAGGCCCTACTAATGTATCTACCTGTAAAAAAAAATGGACGGAGCAACAGAATTACGGTAACGAGAGAGCCGAAACTGGCACAACTGATGAAGGTAGGCCATCTTTTAGAAAAAGGTTTTTTTTAAATTAACGAGATTGCCGAATAGTGTAATTTGTAGCTTTTTTAAAAAGTCAGTTGGAAAAGATCGAATATCTAGCATCTGCGTTTGCTGCCATTTTTTTGTCCAAAAGTTGCCACAAAAATCGGCAAAAGTTGCCAAAAAAGTTGCCATTGATTTTCAAGCTTTCAACTCTCTGTAACGACGTAATATAGCAATATGTTGATAGAGGTAACAATCTATAGCACCAGAATTTCTTTTGCTCTGTTTTGAGCATCCAGAATATCATTTGTAGTCACCAAGAGGGTAAAAAAGTTGAAAATAAAGGTTTCACAATAGAATAAAATTAAAATCAAAATTAGAACAGCACGTATAAATAACCACAAAAATTAACTAATTAAGGGCACGTGTCCACCTATCTGAAGACTGGCTGTTTTTGCCCTAAACGTGTGTAATTCAAGAAAAAGTAGGCTTGCAGGATACCACATGTAAATTATATTATGGAATCACACACAATTGGGGTGTGCCAGTGTCAGTATTCGGTTTTGGAGAAGACACGCTCTAACATAACACATATATTTTATATTTTTAAAAGGGTGGGAGCAGCATTAAATTAAATGACATTACGCTGTATAAATGCAAAAAAGAAAAACAAATCATCAGAACAATTTTTAGAAAAACTAACTCACCCACATTAAAACACAACGAAGAGGGAAAAATAAAAGACAGCAATTTATACACAATATGTAATGTAATGTACTTATATTATCTGCATGAAAATAGTACCCATGGACATCTTAAAACTTGTCAAAATACACGTCAAATATGTTATGAAGTAGCTTTGTCGTTTTGTCTTTTTGAAAAATTATGTAAAAATCGCGGCCGCGATTCACGGACCAAAACATGCCGAAAATCGCGGCCGCGACAAACGCAGATGCTAGAAATAAATTAAATTACGAGTTTACCCTATCCGTACGCCCTGGGGTCATTTCGTAACCCCGGGGTTGTATTCTTCACATTTTAGAATACTTCTAGTTCTAGTCCGAAGATCTCTTTGAAACTTTCAGCATTTCTCAAAAAGTCTTTTTGACAGACTGCTATAGCAAAGCGTACGGATCGGAATAGCGAGTAAATTTCCTCTTTGGAAAGTGGTGGCACAGAGTTCTCCACGTCGTATGGATGATAGTAAAACACGATGTACGGACAGGGTTAAGTAATTACACTGTATAAAGGCTAATGAGATGAATATTATATTAAAATTATAAAGAATAACAGTGATCAAATTATAATTACAATACATAGGCTACATGTATTACAATGTATACGGTGGTATAGTGTGCAAGTAGAAAGAAGGTTATAGAGCAAGGAAATTTAAATGGGAGATGATAAATCACAATGAGAATTTATGCACGTTTGCCAATAAGAATCTAATTCAGTGGAGGAAAGTGGAAAGTAAGGATTAGCTTTGTTATGGATCAAGATCTGCAAATTCAGAAAAGTAGTTAACATTACTTTGAAAGAAATTTGAATTTTTCCCTGGTGGCGGCCGAGTTTTTAGTTTCCCTACAAATTATACATGATTTACAATGTACGTCATGTATTACATATATATGTATGTAGGCTATTTTAACATATTTGTATATACGCACACGAGAACTCCCGAGATTTTTCGCCCTTAACATCAGAAAAGGCCAAGTATTTCGGAAAGCCTTAGCTAGCATAAAAAAAAAAGAATTGAGAACAAGGGTGAGGTGAAAGTAAAAAGAGCACGACGAGCAAAGGTAAGGTCAGTAGGCTAGTAAAAAAAAAAGGCAGCAGAAGTCCAGAGGAAGAGGCAAAGGGGCAGCAGAAAGTGGAGACGAAAGCAAAAAACAGATCATGGTTCGAGTAGAGAGTGAGTAGAACAGGAAAAGATGTAGATCTAACGAGAAAAGTCCGTAGTCGCGTTTCAAACACGGACGAAGACGCAAACTAACAACACCAAGTTAGTGACTAACACTAACACAGTAACCTCGA